CCAAATTCGTCGCAGTACGCTCAGAAGGAGCTGGCTTGTGTAACCCACCAACGTTCGGTCTGCCATGCTGGACAGCCAGGCTGGCTGGGCAGATCGCTTGGAGGGGCACACGATTGCTACGCTACAAGTGGGAGCGCGAAGTGATGAGCATGAAGCATGCGCACAGCAAGGCCATTTAGTTCAACATGTTCGACATCAGTTCCCGTTTTCACGCCGCTCCCAATTCCTTTGTGCCTGCCCTGAGTGGCCTCCGCAAGCATAGCTGCGCAGCGTCCCAATAGCTCGAATAGCTGGGATGGGCTTTGCCGTCCAATCCTGTGCTCGACGACCAGGGCATTGCGTCGAACGCGAGGTCAAAAAACGTGAGTCTTGCAGCATTCCTCACGCCTCGAGACTGCACAGCTGCATTTCCTCCAGGAGCATTGGGGTCCTCTTGCCGAGCCTTGCTTCACTACGAGGGTGCTACGAGGGTGCCAGCTGCATATCTTCAGTGGAACAGAAACAACTTAATGTCATCTGCTGATTAGTGTCCAACCCCCCCTTCCCCCGCCCTTGAGTAAAATGGGATCCATATGAGTTTAAAGGCGAAGAGCTTATATGAATCTAAGCAGGATCCATATTAGACAAGGGATGAGCTTGTATGAATTCAAAAGCGATCCATACGATTTTAAAAGGGATGACTTTATATGAATTTAAAAGGGATCCATCTGATTCAAAAAGTTGCGAATTTATATGAATTCAAAGGGGATCCCAATGATTTTAAAAGGGATGAGTTTATATCAACTCGAAGGGGATCCATCTATCCCAACCAAAAACGCTCCCAAGGAAACATATAATTCCGTCGGACCAAACGTTTTGTATTATACGGTGTTCGGGCAGCTGCTGGACTACCCCCTTTGAAATTTGATTGCCTGGCCTCGGTACAGAAGCATTTTATGTGGAAATCTTAGCTTTGGGGCTGGCCTGGAGACTTAAGATTTCAGGGCCCGACCACCTCAGGCCTCAAGGTTTAGGAAACCTCAGCCCTTAGGCCTCTGGATCCAAACCCAACCAGCCCGCAACAAACACCATTCCAGTTCGGAGGCGATTTCTAGACAACAACTCTATTCACCTCGCCGAAAATTTGCATCGCCCGAATTTGTTTCACAATTCCTGCTTCTCTGGTCTCCCACTTTCAAATAGCTACTACGGCAGATCCAGCAGATCCAGCACGCAAAGCCCGAGGTGTTTCTGGCAATCGTCCTGGGTGGCCTGACGCTGACGATCGCGGCTTCCTTCGTGCTGTACATTGTGGTGCAGGTTCTGTTCTCAGGGTTTGGGGTTCAGGGTTTAGGGTTTAGGGTTTTAGTACTGTGTCGCAGCCATTACCAGCCATGCGCACTGCCCCAAGTGTCGGGTTTTGGGCTTTGTTTCCTGCCGTTGTTGTGTCGGAAAGCTCGACATGCAAGCATCACGACGCTTCGTGCGAGTATGTTCAGCGCATGCTTCCGCCATCCTTGAAACTGTACAGAAAGACGTGCATCTCAATCAGCTACCCAACGACAAAGCACACCCAAAATCCTACGCGGGGGTTTACGACAACAAGGGACCCCTAGTATAGACCATATAGTAGGATCCCTTGTAATAAGGAATAAGGTAACCCCTCCCCTAATATCGTAAACCCCTACACCCACCATTCCATTGAAAGGAGCCATGGCATCAGTCTACGAAGCTTATTTGCAGAAGACTCTGCAGGCAGAAGCAAAAAGGCAAGCCTCAGCTTTGTGCGCAGTGCGTTTCAAGGCGCGGCTGTAAGAATCGCCAATTTCAAGGAAGGGTCGATATGTGGAGTTATGTCGGTTGTTGGCGGGTTGTCTTTCATACCTACTGAACTCTCCTTGAAGATGTTCCTGCCTGGCTCTACATGTGTTGGGATGTTCCCCCTTACATATACTACCAGTCCTTAACAGGGGATAAATAATAGGGGGCACTATAATCCCTGCTAAGGACTGCTAGTGTTTTAGGGGGAACATCCCAAGGCATTTGGCTGGCCGGTGCTTGCAAGGATGCCTCGGCATGCACTGCCAGCTTTGGCTCAGGCGCCTAGAGCCCATCCGTGGTCAGCTGAAGAGCCGTTCTAAGCAGATGGCTTTACTTCACCACACGTTTCAGAATAGGGTTTAGGCTTTAGGGTTTAGGTTTAGGGGTCAAACTAGAAGTTCAGTAGTTTTCCAACTTTCCAGTGACCAAGCCTTTTCCATTTTACCCCGTGGGGCCTTAAAACCAATTCCTGTTCACTGCCAACGGCCGTGCCAATCAATGCCCGGGCCTCACCAAATCGCACAGCGGTGACTAGCAGTTTCTGCATGTACCGTCGGAATGGTGTTGCATCTCTGCTATTCAGGCCTTAAAGCTTGTCGTAGCTCTACAGTTGCAGCCTCCATGGCCGCTACCACTACTGCCGCTGTCAGAACTGGTTGGTAAGTACACCACTCACTAGCAGAGCCACTCAACACCAGTTAGTCGCACAGCTACCTGCAGCACCACACTTCCAGGCATCGAGGGGTCAACCCATCATCCTGCGCAGGTCGTCGGTTTACGGCCCTGAGCTCCTCAAGGTCAGGTTGGGAGAATTTTAGGGTTTAGGGTTTAGGGATGTTTAGGGTTTAGGGTTTAGGGTTTAGGGTTCAGGGTTTAGGGTTTAGGGTTTAGGGGTTCATAGACGGACTTTGCATCTCGGATGTTCTAATGTGCCTTGGCAGGACCCCACCGTCGCGGATGACGTTGACACATCTCTGGGCCGGAAGAAGGGCACTCAGGAGGACACAGAGTCCCACCAGCCCCCTGTTTTGCGCAGAAAGAACTCCATCCGAAGGCGCCTCATGTACTTTAGGGGCCTTAATAATTAGAATAGGGTGGGGGGGCCGTGGGGTACTATGGTCAGTATAATTATGTAGGGGCCATCTGGGAATAGTATTAGGGCTTATTCCGACCCCTATAGTAGGCTGGCAACTGTGGCCGACTCCTACCCATGACCATGTGCAGGAGTTCGAAACCGACCATGTCGGCACCTCGATGCCTTGCGTTTGCTGGGAGAAGCCGACCATGCCCGTGCCAGCTCATTCTCAAGATTTCAAGGGTACAGCGCACGCTTTTCGAGGGGTGCACTACTGCGTCCCACCATGAGCTGCCTGTCTGTTCAAGGATCGCGCCAAGAGAATCAGAAGGGAGAGACGTGCCGCGAAGGATGTGTTATGAATACTATAAGAAGATTATAATAAGAATACAATATACATACTAGTAGTAGTGAGAATGTATTTTTAGATTAAAGCCATGAGCCATGTAGGCCGAAAACTCATGGTTTGTGGCTTGCGCCTTGTCGGAGTACCCTTGTCTGAAGAAATTCCATGTGCGTGCCTGGAGCCAGTAAGTAGTGTATATCCGTTGCTTTAGAGTCTCTGTGCGGAAAGGAGTGTCTGTAGGAGTAGCACTTGCAGGAGAAGGAAAAGGACGATCAGCAGAAGCATGATATGAACAAGGCCTTTGCAGTGATGTCTCCTAAGGGAACTCGAGAAAGTCCATCGGCTCAATAGAACTTGAGCTGAAGTTGCTTGCACGCGTTGGTTTGAAATCACCTGTCGAAGTCCTGTGTATCATGGGGGGCTCTTTTGGAAGAGGTGCCCAGCAGAGGCCCTCTTGTTCCAACCCCACCTGCCGTTGTCACTGTTTCTGCACGGAGCCCCCACAGGCGATTAGCTCCTTGCTGGGTGGAGGGAGCTCTGGCAACAAGCTGGACTTCTCCAGCTGCGCCCTTAACCGTGGCCTTTGTTTTGGGTGGCTTGCGCACTGCAATGGCTGATGGTTTGGCCATAGGCTTGCGGCTGGATATGTCTGGAATAGTATAGCCGTTGCATACATGCGCACGCCTGAAGTTCAACCGATGCGCTTGCGGGGCAGCTTGGCGACGCACAGCGGTAGCAGCGGTCGAGAGAATTGAAACAGATTTCTGGCGCAAGGAATCTTGAATCTTGCAAAGATTTGCAACGGCCTCGCTCAGGTCAGTAATATGCGGGGACACCGTCAGAAGTGCTTTTGATATCATCGGTGCATGACAACAGCAAAGGCTCACATGCCCACACATGCAAGCTTCATCCAACGAGAGTTTGCAAGCTGAAGGCGCGAACTTTCAGTCGTTCGGGCCATCTGCAGGGCCCGCAGCCAGCCCAGCTTGATGGCAACGACTCCTTAAAAGTCGGACTTTGCACAGGGACTAGAGGCACGCCAACAACATGTACTGTGAGGCTGGTCCGGCAGGGCCCTCGGTGGGGGCCTCGGCGGGGCCCTCGGCGGGGCCCGCAGCGGGGCCCTCCGGCCCGCCAGGCCCAAGCGCAGGGCCAAGCGCAGGGCCAAGCGCAGGGCCAAGCGCAGGGCCAAGTGCAGGGCCAAGTGCTCCAGAGGCAGGTGGTGTCACGCTGTATACGCACTGCTACGAACACGTCCTTCGCGATGTCGTCGCCTGGGTCCAGCATTCTGTGTTCAGCCATGGATCCCTGCAAGTCTTCGGATTCAAAATCTGCCGTATCTTGCATGGGTTGTAAGCCATGCCGGAGTTGCATATGCAAAATATACAGATGCCTAGTGGCAGTAGCCCGGCCATGAACAAACTAGCTGCCTTTCCCTTCTGCCGTTCTTGCCAGGCCGGCCCCACAAAGCCTGCGGGCCCACAAGGCGGGGGGCGCGCTGCTTTGTGCTTCTTGCGGGGTACCGGGAGAGCTTAAGTAAACTCAATAAAGTTGGAACATGGTTTAAGGACGGTTAGTGCTGGGATTCCCTTTAGTAACCCTCTGGGGGTATGAGGATAATGATGTTCCAACTCTTGGGAGTTTACTGTACACGTTGCAACTGTGGTATTCGCTAGCTCAGACTTCCCATCTCAGGTCCTTCGAAGCCGAAGGTGCCTCAGGGCCCCTCCCGGCCCAAGCCCGAGGCCAAAACTGACAACACACAGCACGCACAGTTCTGGCAATTTTTTTGCGAGTGTCATCTGCGAGCGCTTTCCATGGCATTCGTCCTCCGCTTGCTGAACTCATGGAACAGTAAAGAGCAGTCTGCATGCAGGAGCTTCCGGACGCACCGATGGCGCCTGAGCCGAGCCCTCAGGCATTCAGACAGCTCCATACTGAGCGTATATAGTAGTGAGCTGTCAGACGTCAGAAGGTCACGAAACTGAAATGCATCATCCCCTGTTGCAAGGGCATGATGATGATGATGATGATGATGATGATGATGATGATGATGATGTATTTCTGATGCACGCAATCGTGTGTTGATGAGTCGAGCGTGGCGTGAGGCAATTTTGAGTTGACTCCGTGCGAAGGGGGCAGAGTCCTGAGGCCATCGAAGCCCAAGGAGCCTGAGAAGAAGGTGCTGCGTGACGCTTACAGATATACTACCGATAATAGAGCCCTTTGTGGTTGAGCCTTCCAGCTCACGCATCAACGATTTCGCGAAGCTTCACTGAGAACTCAGAGAGTGTAAGCAGGAGCCCAATGTTTCAAGAATCTATTGCTCGAACTTCAAACTTGACCAGCACTGCGAGAGGGCAAACGATCGGATGTCTTCCACAAGCTTGCACAAACCTGCACAGACTGGAAACAACCGGCAAAGAGCCTTGCAAACTGCGGATGCGGAGAGTCTGTTGCTTGCTCATGCGAGTTCCTTTCGTGCAGTCAGTTCTTACACCGAGGCTGGGACACATGGATATTATGAAGGAGCAGAAGACCCATGGCAGCAATGAGATGTCTTGGGGTGCTCCTACTTTTGGCCATTCAGCCGCTGAACCAGGCACCACCACCCCCCCACCACCACAAACCCCCCAAAGCTGCAACTGCGACCACTGAGGCGCGTGTCATGGGATGAGCTCAAGAACAAGTTAGCGGAAGCTAACTGGAAAGAGGCCGGTTGTCACCATATGATATGACCAAATGTCACCATACGTCACCACGCCATGCTGCCGAAGGATCCGGCTGATTTAAGCTAGCTTGGCGAAGAAATTCACATCCGCCGAATGAATTCTTACTGAATCTGTAGGTGCGGAGTCCGGTTGCGCTTGGGAGTCTCCTGCGTGGGGGGGGGGGAGGGGGGTGGAGTGCTCTTGCTAGATGATTCGCGTCTTCTATTTCATCCTAAGAGCAAACCCAAATCGTACCACACCGGACATGGCCGCAAGGCTTTTCAGCTCAACTGCATAGGGAGCATCCCTAAACCCTAAACCCTAAACCCTAAACCCTAAACCCGTGTTTTCAGTCCACTTCCGTAGACTCGCTTGCCCGGAAGCCAGGCGGGCGTTCCCGGCTCCAATGAGTTTGACGACTATGCCGCCAAGCTTGAGAAGCGGGAGCCCCATGGCGAAGTCGCCTCAGAGGCTGACAGGTTGTGGCTGAACTGGGGGGGTTTCTTAAATTAGGGGGTGCCTTTTTCGGGGTCCTCATTATAAGAGAATAAGAGAATCCTACTATTTAGGGATCCATATTGGGGGTCCGTTCGTAAACCCTCAACTGTGTGTCTTGTGATCAAACGTTCTGGCCATGGAGAACGCTGGGCTTGCTATGGTTGTAACGAGCCCGGCTTCGGAAGGTTAATTTGTCTTTTTGGGATGCAGGGTTCAGTGCTGCTAGTAGGGCCAAGCAAAGTCCACAAATGATTCGCCGCTTCGCAACCCTGACCCCAGGACGCGAAATGAGCGACTGGCCCAGCAGGAGGACGACACAAAGAAAGCCTTGAAGGCCCCATGCGGTCTAGCTGTGGGGTTTAGGGTTTTCGAGTTCAGGCTTTCGAGTTTCCGAGTTTATGATGGTGCCTGAGATGCTGTTCCAGGTTCGGAGCGTTCAGGAATCTAGGCTTTAGGAGGGTGCGGCATGCACAGGCCCACTACTCTGAGGATTGTGACGGTGCCGTCCAACTGAATGATCCACTAGTCGCCAATGCTTGCGGTCACTCCGCTCGAATTCACATCTGGCTACGTGAATCGCACGAAGTTTTGCACAGGGATGTCGGCTGCCGAGCGATGCTGCGCACGCAGCCCTTGAAGGACAGCCCGAACCTAAACCCAACACCCCGAAACCCTAAACCCTAAACCCTAAACCCTTCAAACCAACCCAAACCCTAAACCCTAAACCCTAAACCCTAGACCCTAAACCCTAAACCCTAAACCCTTCAAACCAAGATGATGGAGAGCAGATGTGCTGCGTGCAGAATGGGCGCAGCAGGGGTCTGATGCGGGTAGCGCGCTGAAGAGTCCACCTGCTTCACTATACTACAGGGGCGGAATAATTACTAATGGCATTCCCTTCTGGTTGCCGTGCCACGCGTAGTTTTTTCTCAGTGCTTTTGAAATGCTCGTCATCGTCATCATTACTCATCAGCAGCATCAGCATTCCACACGTTCCCCTCCCCCTCGTTATTATGCTGCATGCTGTCTGCAGGCAGTAACCAAAGGCAAGAAGGATAAGAAGAAGGAGAAAAAGAAGGACAAGAAGCCTGCATCTCAGTGAACATCGCTGATGAATGCCTCCATTGATAAGGCTGAATGAAACTAAGGGCGCATCGTCTGACGTGGGCTCTGTTTTCGCGTTCTCCGGAGCATCAACCAACAATGCAGGACATGAAACAAACCCTAAACCCTAAACCCTAAACCCTAAACCCTAAACACCTGCCTGCATTGAGGTCTGGAGTGAAGCGCACAGCCGATGGAGCAGTACTTGCTCACAGCAGTGCTCACCTTTGAATGGGAAACTGTGGGGTGTCCGAAATTCGGGGTACCTTATTGGGGTCCATACTACAAGGGGATCCTACTATTGGGGGATCCATATTAGGGGCCCCTTATTTTCGTAAAACCCCAACAGGTCTTCAGGTAGATTGCGGTCAGGTCACGGCTGTTCGGCGGAGCCAACAGGTTAACAGTGCTTCGCGCCTGTCGCCACGCCGTTTCAATCTCCAGTGCGGGCTTCAGGGCTTCAAGAAGATGGAGGGCAGTAGGAAAGCTCATGAAAGACCTATACTAACCAGACATGTTCGATTCGAAGCCACCTTTATCTTCCTGGTTCCCACACTTGTCTGGAGTCGTGGGCGGCGCTCTGCACCCGCCAAAGACAGCTCCATCGGCCCAATGACCTCAAATGACCCCGGCCATGGAGTCTGTAATCTGGAGTCTGGGGCCGCGGGTACTCCAGATTTTTTCTGGAAATCTGGAGTCTGGAGTCTGGGGCCGCGGGTACTCCAGATTTTTTCTGGAAATCTGGAGTCTGGAGTCTGGGGCCCCGGGTACTCCAGATTCTTTCTGGAAATCTGGAGTCTGGAGTCCGGGGCCCCGGTACTCCAGATTTTTTCTGGAAATCTGGAGTCTGGAGTCCGGGGCCCCAGGTACTCCAGATTTTTTCTGGAAATCTGGAGTCTGGAGTCCGGGGCCCCGGTACTCCAGATTTTTTCTGGAAATCTGGAGTCTGGAGTCCGGGCCCCGGTACTCCAGATTTTTTCTGGAAATCTGGAGTCTGGAGTCCGGGGCCCCGGTACTCCAGATTTTTTCTGGAAATCTGGAGTCCGGGGCCCGGGTACTCCAGATTTTTTCTGGAAATCTGGAGTCCGGGGCCCGGATACTCCAGATTTTTTTCTGGAAATCTAGTGTTTAGGGATTAGTGTGTAGGTTTCAGGGTTTAGTGTTTTGTGTTTAGGGTTGAGTTTTAAGTTTAAGGTTTAGGGTTTAGGGTCAAGCGGCTCGGCTAAAACCCCAAAAAAAAACCCAACTCTGATATCCAAACAGTAAGCATCTGAAACCCCGACGGGTGTTTGGTTTCAGGTTTAGATTTAGTAGGGCTCGAGGTTCCGGCTTTGGGGTTTACTGTTTAGGGTTTAGGGTTTAGTGTCCAGGGTTTAGTGTCTAATGTTTAGGGTTCAGTTTGAAATGCTTAAGGTTTAGTTTTTGGGTTAAGTGCTTAAGTGTTTAGGGTTTCGTGCTAAGTGTTTGGGGTTTGTGCTAAGGGCTTAGTGTCAAGGTTTTAGGGTTAGTGTTTAGGTTTAGTATAAAGGGTTTCGGGTTTGGTTTTTTAGGGTTAAGGGTTTTAAGGGTTTTTACAAATTTAAATGATCTGGGGAAGGCACCGGGGCTTCCCCAGACCATTGACAACTTGAAAATCCTTCTGTTTAGGGTTTAGGGTTTAGTTTTCAGGGTTTAGTGTGTAATGTTTAGGGTTTAGTTTTTAGGGTGTAGTGTGTAAGTGTTTTGGGTTTAGTGTTTAGAAAGGGATTAGTGCTTAAGTGTTTAGGGTTTCGTGTTCAGTGTTTGGGGTTCGTGCTAAGGGCTTAGTGTTAAGCTTTTAGGCTTAGGTCTAGTGCTGAGTGTTTAGGGTTCAGTGCTAAGGGTTTCGGTTTCTTTTTTGGGTTACGGGTTTTAAGGGTTGTTATTTGTGTTCAGGGTTTAGTGTGTAGGGTTTAGGGTGTAATGTTTAGGGTTTAGTTTTAGGGTGTAGTGTTTAAGTGTTTAGGGTTTAGTGTTTAGGGTCTAGTGCTTAAGTGTTTAGGGTTTCCTGTTAAGTATTTGGGGTTTGTGCTAAGGGCTTAGTGTTAAGTTTTTAGGGTTCGTGTTTAGGGTCTGGGGCTGATTTTTTGGGTTTAGTAGTGCTTATGTGTTTAGGGTTTAGTGTCAAGTGTTTGGGTTCGTGGGCCCAGTGTTAAGTTTTTTAGGGTTAGTGTTTAGGGTCTAGTGCTGAGTGTTTCGGGTTTAGTGTTAAGGGTTTCGGGTTTGGTTTTTTGGGTTAAGGGTGTTAAGATTTTTACTAGTGTTCAGGGTTTGGTGTGTAGGGTTTAGTGTGTAATGTTTAGGGTTTAGTTTTTAGGGTGTAGTGTTTAAGTGTTTAGGGTTTAGCGTTTAGGGTCTAGTGCTTAGGTGCTTAGGGTTTCATGTTAAGTGTTTGGAGTTTGTGCTAAGGGCTTAGTGTTAAGTTTTTAGGGTTAAGGATTTAAGGGTTTTTGCAACTTTACATGATCTGGGGAAGGCACTGGGGCTTCCCCAGACCATCTAAACTTTTAAATTCCTTAAAACCTTATAAAAATCTTTAAGCTTCTGTTTAAACATTCTCAGGATTATGAAGGTTTTAAGACTTTTAAGCCTATTGAAGACCTTAAACTGCTTACGTATTTAAGTGGCTGACCTTTGCGGATTTTAGAGACTTTTGAAGTTGCCAATGGTCTGGAGAAGCCCCGGTGCCTTCCCCAGACCATATATTTTTTTTACAAATCCGTAAAACCCTGAAATTCTTGCAGTTGTAAAAGGCTGTCCTTTTGAAGTTTAAAGTTTTTAGGATGTTCGATTCTAAAATCCGTAACTTCCTTAATTTTAAACGGCTGCCCGTTTTTAATTTTAAGGAATTTTAGACTTTTAAGGGATAAACGTTTCGAGGTCTTTAAGGGCTTTAAAGCCTTTTAAGATCCTTTAAATCTTGAAAATTTTGAAAGGCTTTAAGTACCTTAAAGCCCTTCAAATTTGAAAAGGGCTGCCCCTTTAAAGGGTTTTTAAAATTGCAAATGGTCTGGGGAAGCCCCGGTGCCGTCCACAGATCATCTAAATTTTACAAACCCCTAAAACCCTGAAAATCCTTAAACTTCTAATTGCTACCCTTCTAAAATTTTATGGGGCCGCAAGACACAAGTTTCAGAAGCAAAATGCACATTAAAACACTAGTGTTCTTATAGAGGATATTATACTAGAGCTTTTTGTATTCCAGTGCAGTTTTTACTGCACTTTTCCGAGGAAAAAGCAGAAAATCAGACAAAGACGAAGACAAGAAAACCATAGGTGTGGATCATGGGGGGGGGGCTGACCATATATATATATATACATATATATATATACAGACAAACCTCAGGTGGCGAGTCGGAGTCGGAGAAGGACGACGCATTGCTGGCGCGCTACAAGACCCGCTCTCGGAGTGCTCCGTTCTTTGGGGAACCAATAGAATGAGACCTGACATGGTATAGGGTTTAGGGTTTAGGGTTTAGGGTTTAGGGTTTAGGGTTTAGGGTTTTAGGGTGCCCTGTATTCTGTTTCCCCTTAAGAAGGTACCCAAAGAATGAAGCCTAAACATATGGGATCATGTACCCTGCAAAACTGTTTCCGCGGAAGAAGGTAGAAGCGTTTAGATTCCATGGGTGTGCTGCGGAGCCATATGGCTTTGGTAATTTTCAGCTTCGCAAATTGGCGGCGGGCTCTCGAGGGCTTCTGGGTAACACCCTAAGCCTAAACCCTAAAACCTAAAACCCGTAAACCCTAAACCCTAAACCCTACCCTAAACCCTAAACCCGAAGCTGAAGACTGGCCTCGGACATGTTGCTGAATTCAGGCCCCCCAAGTGATTGGAGCCTTGCTTCGATGGGGGCGATGTGAGAGAACTGCGCCTGTTCCGAAACAGGATCTCCGAAGCACTGAAGGCATGATTGTAGAGGAGGATTTAGGGTTTAGGGTTTAGGGTTTAGGGTTTAGGGTTTAGGGTTTAGGGTTTAGGGTTTAGGGTTTAGGGTTTTTTTGGTTTCGGGTTTCGGGTTTCGGGTTTGGGGGGAGGGTGTTGAGACGCGTCGACAGCCGCATCTGCAACAAGGTGATCTGGATTTCGGACAAAGCCCCGCGCTTCTTAGGGTCAATCGCTGCAGCAGGGCGGGTACCCAAGCGGTACTGTCCTTAGCCTGAGTGCTTGACTGCATCAGGGAAGACCCTAGACCCTACATGGTTTCACCGAGCAGTGATGCACCCAATATTAAGCAAGACCGCCAAAAGAGCTCCGGCAAGGGGGGTGGAGGGGCGAGGGGGGAGGGGGGGGGGGGAATTCAGATAGATCGTACGTTGAGTGAACAAAGACCCTAACTGGCCCTAACTCGAATTCATTTGGTCTGCCCTATAAGCTGCCTAGGGGCCGTCGAAGTGGCTCATGTCCCAGACCCAAACCCTGTAGACCCAAACCCTGCACCCCAAACCTGCCCTGAACCGTAAACCCTAAACCACGATGCCCTCTGCTCCACCACAGGCTCATGCTTTGCCCAAGGAAACTGGGATTGAGGGATGCTGGTTTCTAGATTTGTGGTTTAGCATTGAACCTTTAAGGTTCTAAGGATTTTGATTTCTGTGGCCAAGTTTTTGCCGTATTCTCAGTACTGGCATCGTTGAAGTTGGCAGCCATGTCACCTTTTTGGGTCACTGTTGCAATTTGGATTGTTGGTGCATGTAACATGGCTCAGATTGTTCTCCTGCAGAGTGCGGAGATTGTTTTGGGTTGTTGTGGCATTCTGTCACCAATACTTCTAATGCATTCAATTCATTTATGAATCGTTATACTTGAAATAAAACAATTGGAGATAATTGCATTTGAACTACATTTATCGCATCGCGGGGGATGAGAAGGCTGTGGCTGGTGCCATGCTTGTGGGCCACGGCCTGGGCATGTACAGGCTTGGACCCGGAGTATGCATATCACTGTAGGCCTCCGGTCCTAATAGAAGGCATCTTATGTATGCTCCTCATCTGCCTCCTCTCCAGTGCTTCCGCAGTGGGAATTTCCTGGTACTGCGGACTTTGGCAGCTGGGCAAGCTGCCAACATTAGTTCTAGCATCGGCCACTTTTTTTGCATCGGCTCTCATATCCACAGCGTTTCCCTGGTGGATGACTGATTCGTCGTTTTGGCCCCCCGAGCAGTGCTTCCTACTGGATGGCGGCAGCAGACAAACTGCACTTGTCTCCGGTGCCATGTACGTCTTTGCATCAACCATGGCAATCTCATTGGCTTGCCTCTCAGTGAGCTTGGCCTGGATCTACCAAGTCCCAGCACCGAGATGCGAACTGGGCAAGCGTGCAGTGAGGTATCTAGTTTTCGCTACCGTCGTGAACACCATCGGCTGCATCTTCGTTGCGCGCCTGACATGCGGTGAGCCTGCTCAGCTGGATGCTCTGGCAGCTGTGCCTCTGGGCTTCAATCCAATCACAAACGTCCTGTTGAAGAGGATCATACTCCGGATGTCCGAAATACATGCAGGTAGAGAGCAAACCAAGCGCATGCGCCAAACAACTCATGCGGAATGCATCACGGGCATTGTGATTGTGATTATCATTCTCATCGGGGTCGTGCTTGCTCTTCTCACGGTCTGGATAGATTACACCTTCGTTCGCATTTTCGTTGCTGCCGGAACGCTGGCGATGGTGTTCCTTGTGGTCCTTGATGCTGGGTGGCACTCTCTGCGAATGTGCTTAAAGTAGGGTAACCCTAGTGGCTTGTGGTCTTGGATGTAGGGATGGGCGCCTTTAAGCACCAGCCCCAGCCTCTGAGGACCTCCAGATTGGGGCGGTTTTGGGTGTAACGCTCAGGGTTTAGGGTCTAGGGTTTAGAGTTTAGAGTTTGTTATAAGGGCCAATTCATGTTTGGGGTTTAGGGTTTAAGTTTACTTTGCAACACCTTGTAGTTGCGGCATTGAAGTAGCAGAATCGAAACTTTTTGGATTTTAGGGGCGTTGTCTGTCTCTGCAACAAACCACCGAAATCGTAACGAAGTCTTGGCGCGGTCCCCACAAAGAGTGAAGCAACACGCGCAGCTGTGAGCAGTCACAATGGGGAAGTTGCTTCTACACGCACCGACGCGCACCAACTGCCCACCCGTTTCTATGGTCACGTCTCCTAAACCCTAAACCCTAAACCCTAAACCCTAAACTCTAAACCCTAAACCCAAAACCGAAACCCTCTCCACAAAGTTGAGGATGGTGTCTTCTCCTGGTCGGCATACATGGCACTGCGTTCAGTGCTACGCGGTGTGGCTGTGGCCATGCCAGCGCAGCAAGATTCTGGCAAGCTGAGCGCCGCCATGTCCGTTGCGAAAGCCAACCTCTACCTGGTGCGATGTTCAAAAGCTCAAAACAGCAAGATAAGTATAGAACAAGAGCCAGCCGATGTAGACAGAGACACGTAGTAAAATTGGGTAAGTGCATCAAGCTCACCTGATTTACCGACCTTAGGTGGTGCTTGCTGTCGTGGGCACCAGCCTCTTTTACGGCATGTTCGTTGTCGCTGGAATCTTCTTCCTATTCTACGAGAGAGGTCTGGCGCTCGACCCAACTACTTCCGGGATCGTGCCCCTGATGATCTGGTGCCTGGACAGTGTATTCAACGACTTCTGCGCTGTCTACTTGGGCTGCGGACCCACCCAGGCCGCGCTGGATTTAGTGACACAAGCCAGCCAAGCAGATGCTGTGGGCATGCCAGTAGCAGGCACGATCTCTGGGCAGGTCCTTGGAGCACCGGCTGAAGTGGACAAAGTGACGGCCGGCCAAGCAGGCAGCTCAGGTGCAATAGGCAGGCCGGTGGGCTCGATTTCCGGGGAGGTGCCCCTTGGGGCACCACAGGAAGCCAAGGCTGTTGGAGTGACCTCGGTGGAAGCTTGGAGCGCGGGACCTCCGAAGTGAGGCTGCCCAAAGCATTTTCACCATCGCTTTTTGCCTCTTCATATCCGAGTTGAAGAACTTTAGGAGCAGTGCAACGACCCCAGCTTGGAAGCTAGCCAAGAAGGGCTAGCTGCACGGTTGAACTCGTTTTCTGGCACTTGCAGAGAGGCTTACGATTGGGAGTATTTTAAAACGAATGTTCATCATCATCGAAGGATAATTGATTCTAAAGACAATCGTCCTCAATTCTTGATTCATATTTTTGCCGATATGATGAAGGCCGTGCACCCCATGGGAATGGATGTGATTTGATTTGACATGATGTTCTATTATTCAAAATCTAAATTACATGTCATGTTTGCATAATGTGGCAACCTGTGTGCGCGCGTATGTGTAAATTGGTGTGGGCCGCGGTGGGTAGATGGAACGGTATGAACGAGGACTTTCGATTTGGGATACCAAGGTTTTATAAGATTCGGGTCCATCGAAGGCATTGGATTTCTAGATTCTATTCAGATTTCGGGCCTTGTATTATTCGTGTTTTTGAACGT